GCACTATCACAAAGGATATGCTAGACTCTGATGACCCCCTAGGGAAGGCCTCACCCTCCCCTGCGGAGCAGAAAGGATATGTGATAGGTAGGGTATTTGTTGGGGAGAGGGAGGGGAGAAGGGGAGAAAGTGGGAACTGGGATTGACATGTAAAACAATCTTGTTTCTAACAGAGAAACTCGGTTTCAAAGAACCTGAATGAATGAATGAATGAATGAATGAATGAATGAATGAATGAATATATACATAGATAAATATATAAATAAATACAAAATGTCTGCTTGGTATTAATAACAGATTGAGGTAATATTTGGTAAGGAAAAAGTGGAAAGCTGGAGGCATTTGGGATACAGTGATGTTTATGTTAATATAAGGAATACTGCCCCAAACCTAAGCCTGGCCAACAGTTAAAGACACATGTCTTTGTAAAGGAGTAAGGCTGTAAAATTGGGGGATGCTCATATACAAATAAAATGATTCTTTTGCTGATTAGTGATTGTCTTAGGGTTTATTACTGCTGTGAAGAGACACCATGACCATGGCCACTCTTACAAGGAAACCATTCAATTGGGCTGGCTTGCTTACAGTTTTGGACATTCAGTCCATTAGCATTATGGCAGGGAGCATGGCGGTGTGCAGGCAAACATAGTGCTGGAGGAGTTGAACATACTTCATCTTGCTGGCACAGAATTCAAACAAACACTCCACTGAGCAGAGGAGACTTCAAAGTCAGCGCCCCACAGTGACACACTTTCTCTCACAAGGCTACATCCACTTAAACAGAGCCACACCTCCAAATAGTGTCACTCTCTATGTGATTGTGGGGGCCAAATATATTCAAAGGACCACAGCAATAATTATAAACTTGACAGAGTCTAAGATAACCTGGGTGATGGGCTTGCCAGTGGGAAATTATCTAGAGTACTTTAATTGATCTGGGAAGAAATGCCCATTGTGGGTGGCACTGTGCTCGGAAAGAGGTCCTGTATTGCAGACAGGGAGAAGGGGAGCTGAGCAGTGCTTTAAGTCTCTCTTGTTTCCTAACTATGGTGCAATGGGACCAGAACACTCAAACTCCTGTAGGTGTGACTTTCCTTCAGGCAACACTCCTTGTTACAATTGGTGAGAACTGGTTTGGAACTCCCAGTGCAGCTGCCTCAAGCCCTTTGTGCTCGAGTTGGAATATAGAGACCTGGGTGAGCTGGGATCTCCTTGTTATCCAGATTTTGGCACATATCCTTGAAGGCAACAATTATTCTTATCAACCACTTTCTCTGGTTTAATTTTATTTTCCATCATTTCCATTTGCAGTGTTGTCTACTGACCCACTACACACAGTGCCCTGTCTCCTAAGGTCTAAGGAAGCCTAGGACTGAGGTTTCAGAACTAAGGATGAAGTCAAATTGGAAGCTGAAGAACTATATATTCACTGTTTGAAAGAAGGGTCAATTCCACTACACCCACATACACAGATAGATAAACACACAAAGTTGGTCAGACATCCAGGGTGAGGAACAGTGTTGTACTGGTCAGTTTTTAATATCAAATTGATACAGGCTAGAACTACCTGGCAGCAAAGGGAACTGAGAGAGTGCTCCCACCAGATTGGCCTGTTGGCAAGACTGTGGAGCAGTTTCTTCTTTAATGATTAATATTGGTGGACCCATACCACAGGGAATGGGGCCATCCCTGGGCTTCTGGTTCTGGGTTATATAAGAAATCAGGCTGAACCAGCTATGAGAAACAAACGAGTAAGAGGCATTCCTCAATAGCTTCCACATCAGCTCCTGCCTTGAGTTTTTTCATTAGCTTCCATCAATAATGGGCTCTAAGCACAACTAATCACTGAACTG